TAAACAGGTAACTTTTTAGTAATGGTCATTCCATTGCCTTTCTTATCCAAACTTCCTGTTTATTCATGTTATTCTTAAGCTTTTCTTAATCCCTCCCATTTACACTGCCATATTTTCACACCCGAACTTTGTGTTTATTTTGTCATTTTAGTATTTCTACATACTTAATACCTGATTGCATAAACAATTATTCATCACATTAGCTTTTATCCAAACATCCTGTCTATTTTGTTATTTCTACATTTCTAACCCCTAATTGCACAACGTCAATCTTCTTAGTTATTATGATGCTACTTTGTTTTATCCATCCTCCTGTTTATTATGGCATTCTAATTCCTAATTGTAATTTTTATTGATTTGACCCTTAACCGGAAATTATTCTGGAACTTTCCCATCCATTTGATATAAATACACGAGTGTACAGACTAGATGATGACTTCGTCGAAAAAAAGATTTTCTTCGCTGCAACTCTCTTCTTAATAACTTTTGTAATTGCGAATAGCCCAACTTTTGAACAGACCATGTTTGTATCGACATGGCATTTTTTTTTATTTACAGCTTGATACCACACTGCATTTTTGGTACAAGTATGGAATTTTCAGCATGTTATATCGGTAGCCCAAATTTTGCAGGCCGACCATAGATATCAGGTGAGCGTGGGCAGGGGCTCGAACCTCGGACCATATGCATGGTCGGCAAGAGTCCTAACCACTGTGCCACCGACGCTCAAACAAAACTATTTTGAAATCTAATAGGACCAGAAAACCAAATTCTAAAAGTTTCAATACAATTTTGCAACATTTATAAGGAAAAATCATCTTTTTCATAGCTGTACAATTGCAAATACATACCCATTGGAGTCATGAAGAAAATAAAAGGCAGATTCAGCAAAGAATTTTTTCTTTATCGATGAAATCATCTTCAGACTCGGCTGTCTGTACAGTCGTATTTATACTTACAAAAACATATATCGTGGTCTATTATTGAGTGATAGGGGTGGGGGTGACATAATTGATATAAATACTCAGAAGTAGTGGCTTTAGAAGTGAAAATTAACTGTTGTAAATTACGTGCTACTCAACGAAATAAAGAAGAAAATTTGATAAGGTTAAAATTAGAAAAGAAAAGAAAAAATCAAGATTTTTTTTACAGGGAACGATTAGTGAAGAGGTTAAAGACCAAGGTAGAATAATTAAATGGACAAACCTTTTCTGTATACAGGGTTCACAGTTGTATTGACGAACTGTCAGCGCCTCCGACATACACAAAAGCCGAAACCTGACACCCTTTGTACCATTTGGCTTCATTTTGTAGATGATGTTGAAAGACGACTCTGGTGGAGCTACGTGGCCTGAGTTCACCAAATGCTCGAGAATTGAGCTAGTAATTTGTCTTACATTGTCCCTTTGCTAACCATGCCGGATAATGTTCAGAGATGCGTCTGGAAAGCGTGTGCTTTGTGTGGCTGATGTAACTAGCTCCACAAGAGCAGGTGAATTTATAAACACACGTTCAGGTGGCCTGTCCAAAGCGGCAGTTTATCCTTCACACATCCATTGATCATTTGTCGGCTGTAGAAATCGATACGTAGCTCAGCCATAAAGAAGGCGTTCCTCAGTGATCTGCATAAGCGATTCTTCCGGATCTCAGCTAAGGTATCACGTTTAAATTCAACACTCATAAATAGCAGTTTCTTCTCAGCATTGTCTGGATTCTTTCAGGCTTTTCCCTTAACTTCATATTTTTCTCCATAAATCTTGGAGGGTATCCATTCTCTATGAGGAATTGTCTGAGTCGCCCCAGTTCCCCATATGTTGTTGTTTTGAATGTGTGTTTATTAAATTTGTCAAACAAAAATACAATCAGTATGTTCGGATGTTGATGTAAGAGGGTAGTGTAACAAAAGTGATGAGTTGTGATTAACAATTGTTAAAGAAGAGTTACGTGGTAATAACATGAATAGTTTGGTGAAAGAGTTGTGCTCAGGATGTGTGTACATGGAAACAAAATAACATACGGAATTAGTTAGAAAATAAGCATACAAACTAGAGAAGAAGAACTTTCCCGGCGGCAACATTGAGAGTAGTGTTCTCCAGTCGCCCGCTGATCTACAGAAGCCCAAAGGAAAAGATCTCGCACCTGACCACTTCAACGAAGTTCAATAATAGCGTCCCAGGAGTGTGAACGCTCCAGTGACCTTGAACGCATGGTAATCGTTGACTAACGGCATCTGTCATTATCATAGCTGAAATATCAACACTCATCAACTTGGGAGCGAATTTCACCCAGATCACGTTTTTAAGTACTTTTTGGACAATGTGTTAATAGCTCGTTAGGGTTAAGGTGAGTATTGGTGTTAGGGTTAGGATCAGGGTTATAATTACCATTAGGGTTTGAATAAGGGTTATGATTAAGGTTAGGGTCAGAATTAAGATTATGGTTACGATTAGGGATAGATTTCTAGTTGATGTCATTTATTTTAATATGTTTTATTATCCACGTTTTCCTGGTAAGTAGTCGTCTATCCTCATGCTGGAAACCATAGTAATTCAACCGAGGGCTGTTTTGGAATACTGCGAGCAGGATGAGAGAGATAAACGATCCAAAAAAACAGTTTATCTGTAGTCATCTCGGTGAACACATGTAAAGAAACTAGTCTAACTTAGCAACTAATACTCCTCGATATAACTAGCACGTATTTTTAAGCCATGTCAGAGAAAGGTAACCTGATTCATGGCGTTTTAAGTATATTTTGTCAATATACCTCATTTTTGAGCAAACAGTCCTCATTTTTATGATTGGTTAGCCGTAGGTCACTCGTACGTTCGCACTCCTGGAACGTTATTGTTGAACTTTGCCACCACTTCTATGTGTATATACCAGTTCACCTGTTGCTGTGGAGCTAGCCAGGTACATCGGTCGTTTAACGCGCATTCTGTCGAATAAGGTCAAAGAACACTATCCAGCATGGCTGCAGAAAGAAGTAGCGGCCGTATAAGGAGTGCAATAATCGAATATCCCGTCACCACTCCATCTCAACAAACGCCTCCTGCTTCAAAGTAATCTACATAGTGAAGAACAACCTTCTAAAGACAATACGCTTCCCTCTTGCTTGGATTGCAGAAGACCAGTTGGAAGAACCAGAACTGTGCACACAAAAGTAAATTATTCAACCACTTCTACTCTCTTTCTCAGGGTAACAACTCTGTTGATTTGATTTAACTTTTGTTTGTATGCTTATTTTTCTAACTACTTAAAACCCTTACTTAATTCCGTATGTTATTTTGTTTCCATGAGCAAATACCCTAGGCAGAACTCTTTCAACAAACTATTCACGTTATTACATTACTCTTCTTTAACAATTTGTGACAACTCATCACTTTTGTTACACTACCCTTCGTATATATACATATATCAACATCCGATTCATGTGAATTTACTAGTTGTATTTTCGTTTTAAGAACACAATATTCAGCGAAGAGACTCTTTTCAACAACGAATTTATTATCAAGCTGTACAATCGTATATGGTTTATTTTAAAGAAGTTTTTTTCCAGTGAGAAAGGGAATCAGATTAAACGTGTGAATGCATGAAATAATAATAATAATAGTATGAAGTGCAATTAAAACTAAAATGTTTGTGATTATAATCATGGTTTAATGGCAAGTGGCGAAATAATTAATGTCATACATAGAATAATACATAAGGTGTATACATTTTGTCAAGGTATACATAATTATAGGATTAGTAGACGAATATAAAATGTTACATAACACGGTGTGAAATTTGATAAGAGAGAATTCAATATTGTAAAAATTAAAATAGAAAATTTAATAATTTCGGGTTTAAAATGACAAGTGAGTCAAGTGGAAAAGATTCAAAGTGAGAACAGTAATAATAATAAAAATAATCGTAGTAATAAGGGAAAAGTACATAGAATAACTAAATAAACAAAATAATTAAATGTCTATCCTTCTCCGGCCACGGCAGAAGTAGGAATTGTACATACTTCTTTTGTACACAAAGACCTGTCTGGCTTAAAATCATGAATTGCCAAGGGCTCAATTGTCATTAGAAGTCTGTAATGAAGAAAACGCGGCCGGGAAGTTAGCATTGATTCGGTAGATGATCTTAAAATCATGGTCATGGTGGGTGTGGTGTGACAGAAGTCGATCAGGTGTTCTAGAATATAGCTTCGCACACACACACACACTTCTTTTCTCCCTTGTAAAACCATGCTGTTGGAGTATGTTCTCGTATCCGTGCGGTGGAAAGCAGCGTCCTCTGACTACGGCCAATGTACCTTGCTCCACAAGAGGATCAAGTGAACTGATTGATAGATGCACATGGAGGCGGCCAGACGGGGGAGCTTGTCTTGCGGTTAGTGAACGTCATAGGTAATTTTGTTGAAAAGAACATCTTACTGACTGATTTAGAGAGACACGATTTTTGAGCATATCTGAAGCGCTTAATCAGAAGCTTGAATTCCAAGTTCATGAGAATAAGGATTTCTTTGGAACTGAGTCAGTCGGTGACCAGTTTCGACTGCTTATCTTATCTTCATGTTGCTGTCAATAAATCGGTTAGGGTAACCATTTTCTGCTGGCGTGTTTTTTAAAAAAGAAGTCAAGTTTGACAAATTTAATGGACACATGCACACACTTATAAAACAACCACATATACAATATTTGTCACTCTACAGCTATGAAAATGAATTCGCCGCCGAATAGACTCTTCGCTGAACTACTACAACTGGTCTTCTGTCTATTCGAATGTTCCAACGGGAATTTTCCATGAATTTATATAGGGAAATAACACTTATTATTATTATTAATTACATTATTTATTATTGAAATATATCGTTAAAAGGCAAAAAATTCATGTACACATTCACAACATACACATAATATATTATGATTATTATTATTAAATCACAGATTATATATTGAGAATAGAGACAGTGTAATGAATCGAAATATGAGGGGTGGTGCTGTGCTGCTCTATGCAGCCAGTGTTGCCATATTCTGCCAAAACTTTTGATCTAGAAAATCGAGAAATGAATTGACGCGTTGTTTACGGGCTTCAGTCTCCTCTTGTGAACTATTCTGATTATTATTATCATCATTTATATTTGCAATATGACAACTACAGTCTTCATTCTTGTTATTCAACATGAGTTGTCCTCTTCGCGATTTCAATAATGGCTAGAAACAGATATACATAAAGAACAGAAAGGAATAAATAAGACTTATTAAGAAGACAGTTGCAAAGCAAGGAAGAAAAGCTTTTCTTTTCAACGAAGTCACCATCAACTCGACAGCTGTTGTACTGACATAAGTATAAAACTTGGGCACTCACTGTGGTGGTAGAGTATAACTCCATTATGGATAAGATTTTTTTTGATAAGCTGTCACACAGTGCAGTGTAGTGTTTGTTATACAGTAATATTAACTGATGCGACCACACGCCATTTCGAGCACAATTTATTATTGCCGCTCATAATCATATCAAGTCACTCAATCACTCACTCACACAACTTCCTTGTTTCCTTCATTTATATACATGAGTGGAATTGATGATTAGATATTTGAATACAAATCAGTAATATAGGATAATGTACATTCAAAAATAATAATAATATGAGTGTTATGAGTGATCAATTACAATAATCAGATGGGAAATAACACGAGTGCTTCTTTTATAGTCAAAATAAGTGAGTAACTTGTTAGAATGTTGTGGTGATGTACGCGAATTGAACTGAAATAGAATACAATTGTAGATTATTTATTATCCTCCTCTGATTCGACTAAGTGACTGACTGACTGGCGGTAATAATATCTTCCATGCATATTTCTGGTTTTGCATTGAGTCATTTCTGTTGCATGTGTTGGGTGTAGACTTGATGAACCAGCCAGGATTCAGTAATCAACCTCTCTCGCTCTCCACCTACCTAGATTACTTTTTAGAATCTTAACCATCTTCCACCATGATCCGATGCATCTGGTCTGGTGCTGAAAGCTAAACATTCGCACATAATAGGTAGTAATATAAGTAGTTCTGATGTGCTCAAGTGGCGAAGTTGATCCTGTACAGAAAAAAAGTAATATTAGAGTCAACTTGTTGAGGTTCATGTAGACGAACGAACCAGCACCAATGACTGTCTTTTACAATTCTACTCATATAGGCATCTGTTCATAAACTTTTCATGTCTTTCACCTCCAATGTCCAAGTGGTACTACTACATTAAAAGACAGAGCGAGAGAGAGAGCCTACTCACGTCTTTGTTCTTGTTTTCACATGACCAATATTGGGGACATAAACATTGACGTAAATTACTGTTTACCAATTTTTGGCTAGCAGACAGCTCTCACCACATTGGTATTCGTTGGGGGTTGCCCATTTTGTACTAATGGACTTAACGCCAACTGATCTTAGCGACTTATGGATTGACTTTTTACCAGGAAATACTCTTGTCGAGTTAGAATATGCAGATGATATAGTCCTACTTCTAGATGAAGGACGCTGATAAAAATATAGCAGCAATCTTCGAATGTTTGGCATGCTATTCACTAAAGTTAATTGTAAGATGATTCTGCATAACTGGAATACACACTGACACTCTTGTCTTAAATTTAGAGAGTGCAGCGATTGGTGGAGCCTGTTGACCACTTAACTAATTTGGAAAGTTGCTAACGAAATCTCAAGGTAGTTAAACACAAGGGGCTCATGCGACATCCGTCAACTTACGTCATTTCTCTGGCATCGACGAGATATCCATCCGCCTATCCATCAAAGATTGTGTGTACTAAGCAGCAGTTTACCTGCCCCCCCCCACATTTACGATTGTGAGACATAGTCATTGGAAGTATGAGACCTATAAAGACTAAATGTCTTTGATCATAAATGTCTGCTTTCGTTGCATTTCCCGCCTTAAGTAGAACAATAATAATAATAATAATAATATGGTGAGTAATATTGAGGTTAGGTGTAGAGTGTTAGATAAAGGAGGTAAAGTTAATTGAACAGGTTGTGAAGCCACATTGATTAAGATGGCTAGGACAAGTGTTACGCATTATGGGTAAATTTTGTTTTGATAAGGTCTCAGTGTTAGACAAAACAAAATTTACACTCTTCCACAGTGCACAAGTTTTATTCTTATATCAAGTGTTACGCATGCCTGCCTTCCTCGTCGACGAGCCTTGTTAGCTGATATAGGGTCAGGTTGGAAAAGAGTTCAGTTTGAGCCATGTAGACAAGTTTAGTGCTTCTTGGTTAGTGTAGTCGTGATTCTCAGAACCAAAGCCTTGAGACCGTTAATGATCTTGGTTCGAAGACGTTCACAACGGCGCACAAACATTCAGTCTGCGTAATCTTGTACATCATGTCTGTTTGTTTTCGGCATAGAATTTTGCACCGATGTTCACCAGTTCAAGTCGCCACACTCCACTCCATGTACCACACAAACCAACAGAAGAAAGTAGAAAAAATGTATAATAGAGAGACAGTAAACACAGGTGTGACACAAAGGAATAGTAATAACGAATAACAATATAGTTTCATTGGAAATCGTAATTCACAAGAAGTGGATGCATCTGCGCCATTGAGAACGATTTTGAGCCAAGTCACCAATTGTTACCAGCCATTGATTTTTACCGCCCGACGACAACAACCAGGAAGCAAGTCCACACCTTCCCACTTGGCTGGCTTAAACTAACTGTTGTGGATTTCATTGACTGATGAAGAAGACATGTTTTGGTTTGACCGCTGCTAGCTCTTTTCCAACCTGACCAATTCTATGTCAGCCAGCTAACATTGCCCTTTGTCGAGGAAGGCGATGACTAGGCATGCATGCGTAACACATGTCCTAACCATCTCAGTCGATGTAATTTCGCAGCCTCGTCGATTGATTTCCCCTCCATACCTAGCACTCGCCGACACCTAACCTTAATATTGCTCACCTTATTATATCACTTCGCAGGCACCTATGATCGTGAACACCTAATCTTTTCTCAATGGCCAGGTCTCAACAGTCAGCCATAAAGGGGCAGAAAGAGGACTGGTGAGCAGTACACCCGCCCTTTGGTCGATAGCCAGCCGAACATCACGTGTACTAAGCCAGAGACTGCGTAAACTGGCATGCATACTCAGCTGAGATTTTGTCAGAAATCAACCCGTTGGCACTAGCTTATGGTACTTCCCAAACAAGTGAAGCAGTCAACACGCTCCACCAAGCACTTCACTTCCTAAACTAGGAGTCAGTGTAGTCCAGTCAGTCCTGTTACATCATCTTACATTTGGCGGGAGCGAATCGCATGCCAAACATTCGTAGATTGCAGCTCAAGGTGTTTAGAAAACTCTGCATTTTGTCAGCGTCCTCGCCTAGAAGGACTATATTATTATGCATACTTGAAACATTCTCCTTCGTTCTTTCACACTCTGTATATCTCGACCTTTTTGTTACTGCTTACGCCAGTAAATATGCCAGTAGATCTAATTTTCTAACACCTTCAAACAACGTTCTGTTCACTTTTGGCTTTGCTACCGACCGATATGTTGTTGTTAAAAACTAACTGAGACTTCCCACCCATCATCTATGTAGAATTTTATTTATTGTTAATGTACAAACTGGTGCCCAATACTGTAGTGAAATGCTGAGAATTCCATTCTGTGTATCACAAGTGCTGTTTTGGAACAAAGCATATTATTAATTATTATTATTATTATTATTATTATTATTATTATTATTATTATTATTATTATTGTCATTACATATAACCCACTTACCGTCATTTGTAAGCACGTGAACTGGTAATGCAAAATAGCCAATAAGAAATCCCACAACGAAAATTCTGGCCAATAACTATTAATGAATTTGTAGACTGCACCGTTCTCGGATGCTTGCCATGTCAAAAAGTCACTCAATCGAATTTCACCCGATGTACGTATAATTAAATCCAGTGGTTTCGACAGACGTGTGTAAAGACATTTTGATAACAGTTCACGTGTAATATCACTATAATAATAACAATAATAATAATATGCTTTATTCCAAAACTCCACAGTAGTTTTCGATTAATTTGACTATATCACGAAAGTTACTGAACATATTCAAAAACGTGTCAGTCCATATGAGGAAATTAGGAAGCCTGTAAATACAATAATTGATTAAGGTTAAGAAATCTACAGTGGAATTAATACGCAGAATGAAGCCGTCACTGGTCAATTCCAAACATGTGCATAAATGAAACAAGAGGGTGGTGTGAGTCAGTGACTTGATATGATTATGAGTGGCAATAGTTTGTGCTCGAAATGGCGTGTGGTCGCATCAGTTAATATTACTGTATAACAAACACTACACTGTGTGACACTTTATCAAAATAAAATCTCATCCATAATGTAGTTATACTCTACAACAACAGTGGCCAAGTTTTAAACTTATATTAAAGTACAAAGAAGTTCGATAACAAAGCGTCTTATTGAATACAGACATGATAATCACACACTACCAAATTATTTAAAATTCTATCAGCAGATAATCAAACAAAAAGATACTTGCAATCGCATAGGCTTGCGTACTTATAATAATACAGAATGGAATTCTCAGCATTTGTCACAACACCTTGCATTTAATTTACTTAAAATATACATAAAATTAAAAATTAAAACAAAATTAACCATAGGGATTTGTCCACGTTTACGATATAAAGTCAAATATATTCGAAGTACGGATTGAGAATATTAAATATGATCATAATAATAAGAGTGAGTTTGTTTCAAACAGTATTGTCAATACAGTCAGTTTGGAAATTTTAGCATGTTATTATAGAGGCATTGAATCTAATGTTCTGTTGGTATAGCAGCATGGTGAAGGGAAATACAAAATGTGCGTCGGTGGCACAGTGGTTAGGACTCTCGCCGTCCATACACATGGTCCGAGGTTCGATCCCCTGCCGACGCACACCTGATATCTATGATTAGGGTCCAAAAGTAGCAACAGAAACTATGCAACAATTTACTCTACAGTAAAAATGAAAACATAAAAACGCAGTGATTTTCAACTTGGATGATGAAACACCTAGAATTATGCCTTACAACACATACTTTCACCAATTCAATACTCAAATATATATATGAACAGGTAAAAGGAGAACACTTTATGCTGAAAATTGAGCTGAAGAGTGATGTCGTCCAGAAGGATGATGAAAGCTCCGCAACTAAACCAACCAGCTCTTCATATAACACTATTAATTGTAGGGTCGATAAACCCAATCTCTGTGTACAGAAGAAAATGACGAGCGCTTTGAATCGACCGTGGCAATATTTATTTTTAATTATTACCTGTTACTGTTACTATTCTATTCCACCTCTTGCTATTAATGTTCTCAACAAACGCTATCTTTTGTCAGTACCACTAACTTGAATTTCACTACTATTATCATTAGTATACTATTGACCTCACCCAGTTTACTGCAATTCCTTTGAAAATATCACCAACAGCACACACAGAACTAACTCTTTGTCACTACCAGTGGACACCAATCCTCCAAAGAAAGTGAAAAAGCCTGAATGTGATCAAGATACCGAAGTACGGGATCATACAGAATCTACCCCCCACCCGAGGCACGGAAAATGAACACAGAGACTGTGGCAGATATGCTTATGTCATTATTGCAAAAGGTTGGGAAGGAAGGAAGAAAAGGTGTCTACTGACTGTGGTGGTAGAGTATAACTACTCCGTTATGGATAAAAATTTATTTTAATAAAATCACAGTGTTTGGTATACAGTAATATCAACTGATGCGACCACGTTTCGAGCACAAACTATTGCCACTCATAATCATATCAAGGCCTTCATAGATCATAGAAGTATCAGCTAACGATCAAAATATACAGTAGACGTTGGCACTATTGGTTATGAGTCCATGAAATTCTCCCGAGTATGAAGTGAACAGCTAACAAAGGAGGTTCTCATACAATAAGATTCCCTTTTATAAATTTGAACAAAGAAAGAAGAAACATTGGCGCGTAGAATAATCTGGATCCATTTGATTTCGTCGGTTCTCATCATCAGCTGCGTAGAAGCTGAATTTTTTCATAAAATAAGAATAAAAAGTGTACAATTTTAACGAACTTTGGTCCATTAGCAAGCATATAGTCAGAGCGTCATATTGCGATCAAACAAAGGTTCAGGCGTGGTAGTGATGAACAAAGCTGAAAATTGGAGTCCATTCTGAATGACACGCCGGAATTTGACAACAAAATGTATCGTCAGGTTGATGGTGAGACGATGGGGAGTCCACTGGGTCCGATGTTAGCTGATATCTTTATGGCCAGTCTGGAACAGACAAAGCTCAAGCGTGTGCAACTGGCGAAATAACAGCCTACTATCGATACATTGATGACATTGTATTCATTGTATGCAATGATTTGAGTCATGCTTCGTCTCTATTAGACTCTTACAACAATGTACACAAAAGCATCACTCACGATTGAGCATGAAGATGATGAAAAATTCCATTTTCTAATGCCTCTTAAAAAATGCTTGAAAGAAATTGCCGCTACGTCTTATTTCATTATGATGCTCTGACGATATGCTTGCTAATGCACAAAAGTTTGTTAAAATTGTACACTTTTTATTCTTATTTTATGAAAAAATTCAGCTTCTACGCAGCTGATGATGAGAACCGACGAAATCAAATGGATCCAGATTATTCTACGCGCCAATGTTTCTTCTTTCTTCGTTCAAACAAAGGAGGTGATTTAAAAAGTACTAATAAAATTGAAAATTTTGTTATTGTTTATCTTATACTATGCATTTCTAATTACCCATTTCTTTACGGTTGTTATTATATTAGCTGTCGACATTTTTCGGCAACCCCTTCCCCCAATGTTCATTTCATTTCACTGTGCCAATATATATTAAGTGTATGCCAACTTCAACTGATACACACACACACACACGCAGAAAAACGCAGAAAAAAACTTGGTACAATATGGCACCAAGAAAGATACGCCACACAATAACAGTAAAACAACATAGATCAAAAGCATAAAAAATATATAAGTAGAGAACGGATAAAAAACTTCATCTGGAAGGCAGTCATGCTTAACAAGTTGAAACAGTATTCGTCAACTATCATCGGGAAGGGAAGAAAGAAGGAAATTGCAACACGTTCGCCATTAATGACTGCGATTCTTGGCCATATTTGATAACGTTTCGAGTTTTCTCTCTCGGACTCCAACAAGAGGGTCGTGACGCACCAACCGATGCTAAGCTACCACAAATATCCTTCATCCCACGACGTCGTGAGCTTACCACCTCTCCGCCTTTTCTATTCCGTCCCACGGCTAGCGAATAGAAACCTGTACCGAAGCCTCTGAGACGACATTCGCATCAAATGTCCAAGCCACCGGAGCCAATGTTTCCAGATGACGACAACACTCAATGAACGCTGATTTCCCCACTGTGTTCAAAGACACGCCGCTGAACATCAGAATTACTCACGCGAAGATGCCATCGAACGCAAGTAATCGTGGGGAGGCAACGATGATCAAACACGCAGACTCGCCGCACATCCTCAGCTCACTTGGAGAGACCAGGTTTCACAGGCGTAGAGCAAGACAGCCCGCACCGAAGCATGTATACCCTACCTTTGACAGCCAGGCTAACGTCGCGACGGAGCCAGAAGTGGCACAAGTTGATGTAGCCACCCTAGTCTTCATTATACGGTTGGAAATCTCATCCGTCACCCCTCCGCCGCCAGCACTCACACACAACTACCCAGATACACAAACTTATCAACAACTTCAAGCAGTTCACCCGCAAGAGTGAATGCAGGTACAGGCTCCTGCCAATCTTGTAACAGTACTTTGCACTTCGACGGTGCAAAGTACACATACCATACTTACAGACACTGATCACTAACTGATTAAGTGCGATTTGGACAGGCTGTATGCTATCGCACAGTAAGACGATATCGTCTGCATACTCAAGATCGAAAAGTCTATCTCCAGGTAGCAGATCTACACCACCTTCACACACACACACACACACATCCTTCAGATCCAACTCCAGAATGTCATCGATGATAAAGTTAAAGAGAAATGGAGAGATTGGGCAACCCTGTCTAACCCCACTGATATTTCGGAACAGTGGTAATAGTTGGTCGTATGCCGCCCTCACTCTACACCTGAGATGTTTCTGTATAGGGCTTTCAGGATGTTCACAAACTTCTCAGGTACACCCCTCTCTGACAGACCGTTCAAGAGTATAGTTCTGCCCAACGCACACACACACACACACACACACACACAGTGATATTGTTTAATGCAACTAACCACCTGCATTTAAACAATTATGGTTTCAACAGTCACACACACACACACACACAAGTGTAACTAAAATAAACAAAAAACAACATTGAAGTCTATCATCTCATTTACCTGGGAATAATTTTTCCTTCTTTGACACCTAATCGTACAGTTTCCAGTGCATTTGTAATATCATGTCGACTGTTATACGCCATGCAAATATTAAGAATTGACCTAAATAATAAACAAACAAAAAATAAAGAATTGGTTCCGTAGCGATTTTGTTTGATTGCATGCAGAATTTCATCATGAGCTGACATCAGTTAGAGAACCACTGGAAAACCAGCACTGGGAGTACTGCCAGACAGCTGGACAGACATTGAGAAATGGTCGCGCTATGTCATGAATTGGTAGAAGTTAGAATTTAAGGACCATTGGATAGGGTCCCAGTGGCTCAATCGTCTACGAGTTCACTGACATTGTAACCAGAAGGTCCTGGGTTTGAACCCTGGCGGCGGGTGCGTACTGCTGAATAGCCGGTCCCAAACTAGACTGACGAAACAACTGGCTGTCCAGTACTCCTTGCATGTTTTTCAGTGGTTCTCTAACTGATTTGTCAGCTCATCATGAAATGCTCCATTCAAAAGAATAAAGACACCAATAAAGCGAAATATATCCAAAACTTATATAAGTGATGAGGATTCCGTTGAATTCCCCTGAAGAAAGGACAGAGCAATGTCATATATTTATTAGTTTTTTTTGTTATTAATAACTAAGAGGGTATCTCTCTCTACCATGTCTGTCTATTTCCGACATAAAACTTTGCACCGATGTGCACCAGTTCAAGTCGCCACACTCCACTCCATGTGGCACACAAATCAAGAGAAGAAAATAAAAAAAAAGCATAATAGAGGGACAGTAAACACAGGTGTGACATAAAGGAATAGTAATAACGAATAACAATATAGTTTCATTGGAAAGGAGTGGATACATCTGCGCCAGCCAGCCATTGAGAACGATCTCTTTGAGCCATATCACCAATTGTCTCCAGGCTTTATTGGTTTTTACCGCCCCGAGGACAACAACCAGGAAGTTTACACCACCCGACGTGGCTGGCTTAAATTAACTGTTGTGGATTTCATTGACTGATGAAGAAGACATGTTTTGGTTTCACCACAACTGGCTAACTCTTTTCCAGCTTCACACTATGCCAGCCAGTTAACATTCCTCTTTGTCGAGGAAGGCGATGACTAGGCATGCATGCGTAACACAGGTCCTAACCATCTCAGTCGATGTAATTTAATAGCTTCTCTCTACCTGACATAGGAGATGGAAAATCAACATGAAAGTTTACTTATCTTCAATAAATTAGCCAACAAACTGTTATGTTCCTCCTGCTGAGTAGTTATTAGTAGTTTTCCCCGTCCCCAAATTATTGTTAGGTTCTGATCGAGAATTTAATAGTCCTGACGCAAGAAGGCGGAAATCAGAAGACCACTAGGTTTGCGATGATACTTCTATTTTCCAAACACAAGGAGAATGCAAAAGTGGTATCACACCAAAGTAAGTAGTCACACAAGATTGTGTGAGCGAAATATATATGAATCCAGACAAGTGTGTGAACAAATCAATAGACAGTCTTAACATGAATGGCTAATTATAATGGAGTGTCGATCCAAATATACATAGCAAAATATAGCAGACATGTCAACAACCACCATATATGGATATATGTCACCAAGCAACGGACTGTCAACAAACACTCATATTATATTATATATAATATAAGGAGAATATACATTGTTAAAGGAGACAGGTTCATACAAGTGAAATGGTCACAGACTAAGCGAGCAAACAGAAAGAGAGATCACCATACACACACACATATATATATATATGTGGATACATATCACCTCCCCTTTTGAGAAGATTGATGATTAGTAGGATGTTTTCCTGGGGGTTTATCTGGAACCTTTGAGCTTGTTGTTGACGTCTGTCGTTTCGTCTGCCTGTTGGGTTTGCGGCTTCGGCTTCGTCCGGAATTGTCTGACATTTTATGCTTCTTGACTGCATTGCATAGCGAATTTAGTGGGACATCAGCCAGATGCAAACGATCGAACCAATCAAGTCCCAAAAGATTTAAATCACTCTTGGTGACGTAGCAAATTCCTGTGAATTTGGTATTGCGGAAGGAAACAGAACATTTGAGTTCACCAATTAGTTTGAGCCGCCCACCACAGGCGCTGACAGGAGTCTGAGAAGTATTTGTAATTGGTGGTCTGCCAATATTATTCCAAAGTTTCTCTGATATAACAGTAATATCAGAGGCGGTATCTAGCTGCAGACGTGTATCATGACCATTCATCTGAAGGTCAATATATTTCCGCATAGCTGGTGTTGTGACTTGACAGGTTTCGCGTAGACTCAATGATCTTTTTGGAGATTTAGGACCAACCGTTTGTCGAGCTTTTGCTGGATTTTGACATCTGGGTTTGCGTGGCTGACAAAAACCATTTTTATGACCGATGATTTTGCACTTGCTGCAACGATGATTTTTGTACGGACAAGACTTTACAAAGTGCCACGCGCCACAATGCCAGCATGGTGATGGTGGGGTCTTCTTTGCAGTATTTTGTGAAGTTGGACGAGTATGTGTAGATTTCCGTGGGACATTAGAGAAGTAGGTGGGTCAGGACTGGATGATGAGAGATTTTTGCTCTTTCGTAATGCACGAATATCAGAGCTTCTCGAAGGTGTTGATTCGACCAGGTGTGTCTTTCTGCAGATTAATCAGCCGTTGATATTCATCAGCTATGTCATGTAATGTTAACTTGGGATTTTGTTCTAGCTGATTGAGCAGTCGAGTTCGGATATCTGTGAAACGAGGAGATTGAAGACTGCATATGAGAATCAAGGCTTTGAATTGATCATCTGTTAAGGACCTGAGTCGAAATCTCTCACATTCTCGGTTGACTGTGCCAACGTGAGTAAGAAAATCATCATTTTCATTCATTGTCAGCTTGAGGCAACGATAACGTATGCTGAATAATGAGGAGTGGTCTCCAAAATGTTCACGCAGCAGCTTTATTGTATCATCGAAACACTTGTCACGTGGTTTCTGGGGTAAAATTAGGTTGCAGTACCGTTCATATTCTGCGGGACCCAATTTACGTAACAACACTCGCACCTTCCAAGCATCGTCTTGTGAGGCGAGATCAACAGTGAATAAATCCTCATAACGTTGATACCATGTGTCAAAAGTGACATTAGCATCTGGATTATAATTGAACTGTGAAATACTATTCACAATTCCGTCGACAGATGGTAGCATGGTATGGTTCGGATTGCTTGAAGGTGAAGCTGGACCAGTCTGTTGGTTGACGAACATTTCCATTAATTTCATTTGTTGTTCAAACAATAATTCCAATTTAGAAGGATCCATAGTTTTCCCCGTCGCCAAATTGTTATGTACTCGTCGCTAAATTATTGTTATGGACTGGTCGAGAATTTAATAGTCCTGACGCAAGAAGGCGGAAATCAGAAGACCACTAGGTTAGCGATGATACTTCTATTTTCCAAACACAAGGAGAATGCAAAAGTGGTATCACACCAAAGTAAGTAGTCACACAAGATTGTGTGAGCGAAATATATATGACCATCCAGACAAGTGTGTGAACAAATCAATAGACAGTCTTAACATGAATGGCTAATTATAATGGAGTGTCGATCCAAATATACATAGCAAAATATAGCAGACATGTCAACAACCACCATATATGGATATATGTCACCAAGCAACGGACTGTCAACAAACACTCATATTATATTATATATAATATAAGGAGAATATACATTGTTAAAGGAGACAGGCTCATACAAGTGAAATGGTCACAGACTAAGCGAGCAACAGAAAGAGAGAGATCACCATACACACATATATATATATATATATATATATATATATATATATATATATATATATATATATATATATATATATGGATACATATCACATACCGAAGAACATGAAGAAAGGACAAAGTTCAAGCTTAAGTACCACTAAGTCACTACCAGCAATCAGGGAATGACTTTGAATGCAACAATCACATGAAGGAGGCATTTTTGTGTATGGATATATTTACGATAAAAAAAAATTGCATAAAAACTGTGTGAAAGTGTTAGAGAGGATACCTTCCTCTCACATGTGGTAAAAAATGGCTCTTAGTTTTACGTTGGAGTATCAACAGAGTATAATAATTTCATTGTGGGTAAAACTTATTTTGATAGTCTCATAGTGTTATACAGTAATATTTCCTGAGCATTAAATTGTACTCGAAACTCGGTCATCAGTAAATATTATTGTATAACACTGTAAGACTTTATCAGAATAAATTTTACCCGCAATGGAATTATACTCTACGACAACCAGAGTGCACACTTTCTATTCTTATATCAACAGAGTAATTTTTAACCACATTCTATGCATGTAATTAAATGGGTCTTCTAACGCTAACAATAACCCGAATCTTTTTTGAAGCTAACCGCCCTAACGTTGAAATATCAATAAACTAACTGTAATCTAACTTGTCCTTGGCCTAAAGCGTAACTTAATCTTTCCTAAACCCAATCTGAAACTTGCTAAAAATCCCATTTTATAGCAGTGAGGTTTTTTTATTGATGATCAAAACATTATTTATTGGCCAGGTTTCACAAATTTTGCTTAGTGAGTGCGTTTCAAGGTTATTGGTGCGGTCGCGCACTCCATTGGTAGTTAGGTTAGTGGTGCGCTTAAAGTTTGACTTGACCGGAGAAAGATCAGAGACACGCTGAGGAGATTGTGTGGTCATCGAGTGGTGGGACCCGAATAGGAAATGACGAGTTGAGCATTTGGAGATGACATAATGGAAATTGTGTGTGAGGAAGAGAGATGAAAGCTCACAGGCTATCTTGGAACCATCCTAAAGAGGACTGAGTAAAAAAAACGGATGATACGGAGATGAGTTGTTAAAACACCGATGTTCTACTGGAAACCCAAGGGAATAATAATAAACGATGACTCATATATATATATAAAAGAGCTTTTAGCAGTGAAAAAATTTGGGCATTGGGTGGCATATAATATTCATTATAATAAGGGGTTTTCTTGCATTTCCCAATGAATGAATGAAAAAGAGTAAAACGATATTCTTGCTCTTACTGACGTTTCGCTATTTAGTGCTGCTGCTAATAGCTTTATCAAAGCAGTATTATTAAACTGGAAGAATTTAAAAAATCCACTCAGCATATACATATAACGAAAAGTTAAGAGGTGGGTGAGAAAACAGACTTGACTCGACTTAGGTCAAGTTACAAGGAGGATATATTGAAGGCGTGAAAATAACAATGAAGATGAATGACTAAACCAAATAACAGAGGTAACATAGTACATCTACCCTGACTGGCTGGTGGTGATCAAAACAAAGTTTACTAACTTGATCATCGTTCCTCAGTATGGGGACATTTCTCGTTGTCAAGTTGGTCAATTGGTAAAGTTAACAAAACTAAGTGTAGATTGTTGGATTTGATCGATGAGTCCTCCGTATGCATATGTGTGTGTCCACACACACATTCAAATTGGTACATACAGTGGGATGTGACATTATTTTTCGGATGTTCGAAAGGCTTAGATGGATGGATATATTGGCTTCATATTCTCAATTACCAGTTTGAATGTAGATGTACTATGTTACCTCTGTTATTTGGTTTTATCATTCATGTTCATTTTTACTTTCACCTTCAATATGTCCTCTCAGTTTAACTTGACCTAAGCCAAATCAAGTAGTCTATTTTCTCAGGCACCCACCTCTTAACTCCTTATTATTTCCACATATTCCGTATATTCCTATGACAAGTCCGTGAGTGTGTGATATGCGCATTACACACACACGATTCAGAAAAATTATGTTTTCCTTCTTATTGCCTTTAACTAATCTATTCGTTATATAATGTGAAAGAAAAAGTTTGAAAAAGCAAATCATAGTACAAATGGTGTTACATAACACTCTAACTACAAAATTTAAAACAATCAAAAGATAAAAGAGAAAAAACTAAGACGCTAATTTCTTACACTCACTCACCTGGAATGGTTTCTGGTTTCAAGCATCAGCTGTGCTGCTAAATGCTGAATCTTCTGTGGAAGTAATGTCAAATTGCCAATCACACGTATGCAGATATCATCCGCTTTTAACTCATCTCTAAATGACGATAAGAGTATTCATCACAACTTTGAGGACAGAAAAAACACTAACTTGTTATCCAATAACTCATTAAGTTTCTCTTCAGCTAAATTCATTAAGAAGGAAACTTCTTCCGGTGATCGGTTGAAATTGTCTATGCTAAAAGTGAAAATTGACACCTCCTCAATGCCTACATCATGACACCACTGTAAAGTCTACAATAAATAATTAAATAAATAAATTAATTAATTAATATATAAATGAATGAATAAATGGATACATAAACTTAATTGGTGGATAGTGACAAGCAGGGGTATCCAGGATGCGCATTTCGTCCTGTTTGGGACCCGTCAGCTACCTGGATGTACCCACATCTCTCACCACCGTGGCTGGAACCCAGTGTTCATAGTTTCAAACGCCAGCCAAAGCGTTATCCGCTAGACCACATGGGCCACAAGGGCGAACTCTTGTGCGACGGGATCGTGTTAATTATTTAATTGAATATTAGATTTTCCCGTCGATGCAGGTACATCCAGCTGACCACGAGTCCCAAATAGGACGAAACGCGCATTGTCCTGCACTGGATTCCATTGCTAGTCACCATCCACCAATTAAATTCTAATTAAATGCCCAGACATCGTCGTCGAAGCATCTGCACAAGTAGCCGACAGGCATGTCAACTTGAGACCGAACACTTCAGTGCAATCAATCAATGGACGGGAAAATCTAAAATCTAATCAAATGAATAAACAAATAATTAAATAAATAAATGAAGAGATTAATAATAAAACAACTAGTTCCTTGGATAAATTTGAATAAAGCATTAAGAAGACAAATTTCGCGAAATGATATCATCATTTTGTAGTTTCTTCATAACCGCTTCACAACTAACTCGGTCAATAATAATAAAATAAGTTCATGACAATTACTCAGTTAAATAAAAAAGTACATAGCAATGACCAATCATCACATTTAAATAGGTCAAGTAGTCAGTCCATGGTAGACGAGGATTGAAGTCTATTGTGTTTTGACTGTACACACAGTTTAGGCTGTATGTGATTAATCCCCAAAGTGCTTCACATACAGCCTAAACTGTGTGTACAGTCAAAACACAATAGACTTCAATCCTCGTCTACCATGGACTGATTACTTGACCTATTTAAATATGATCGGTAATTAGTATGTTGGCCTAAGTTGGTCTAAGCCACGTAGAAAGGTGTAGACTTCCAGGCTGGGGTCCTCGGGACGGTAAAAATCTATGGTTGGAAACAATTGGTGACATGGCTCAAAATCGTTCTCAATGGCTGGCTGGTGCAGATGCATCCACTCCCTGTGACTTATGATCTTCAATGAAACTGTTTTGTATTTCTTTATTACTCCTTTGTCTCACCCCTCTGCTCACTGTCTCTATTATGCTTTTCTTGTACTTTCTTCTGTTGCTTTGTGTGCTACATGGAGGGAGTGTGGCGACTTGAACTTCCGCACATTTGTGCAAAGTTCTATGTCGAAAACAGACAGAGACAGACAGACAATTAGTATGTACATTTGTTTTTTTATATAACTGAGTAATTGTCATGAACTTCATTTTATTATTGTTAACCATGTTAAAAAATTATATTTGTAAAATCTCAGCGATACTGAAATGAATAATTCCAACGTTTCCTATGTTCGGCAATCTGGTCCGAACTTCTTCGGGGAAATTAATCGAAATTAACAAGAGATGTTCTTTTAATATATATGAAATTCTGTTATGTTAATTTCGATTAATTTCTCTGAAGAAGTTCGGACCAGATTGCCGAACACAGGAAACGTTGGAATTATTCATTTCAATATCGCTGAGATTTTACAAATTTAATAAATTTTTACAAATGTCTACTTGTCACTCGGCGCCCAAATATTTTAGAACTATTCTGTCAAATCTTGATAACAAACAGACAGTTCATTTGAGTTAACCATGTTGCTAGTTGTAAAGCGGTTGTAAAGAAACTACGAAATGACAATATCTCATCTGGCGGCGAAATTTGTCTTCTCAATGCCTTCTTCAAATAGATAAATTAATAAATATATGAATAAATAAATAAATAAATAGATAAATACAGAGGTAAAGAAAGTTACCTCAGAAAGTTTTGAAAAGCCGTGTAAATGACCCTCAGACTTTCTCATCATTCTTCGGTCAGCAAAACGTCTATTCCCATCCATAATAAAAGCGATGTGTTTTGGAACTGGTCCATGCTTAATGGCACGCATACACATTCTGTGGAAAATGCCATAATTCACCTCAGAACGAGTCCACGTCATTTAAACAACTCTCTGTTAAAAAAGGATAGAAGAAAAACGATTTTAAAAAAACATTGCTGTAGTAAAAAAATCTTTTGGTCATAGATAAAATCTTTATTAGAGAGAGAGCTTTCTTTGTATAGGTACACTGATAGTAAGAAAGTTACTATTATTTCCTTTAATTCCTAGAGGAACATAGGGCTTCACAGCCAAACGTCTCCACTGTGTTCGGTCCTCTGCTAGACTTTTCACCCGGCTCCAGGTCTGCCCACATGCATTCATTCATCTCCTCTTCACATGACCTCCTCCGTGTCACCCTCACCTTTGAACCACCAAATTGCCGCCTCCCTTTCGAGTTCCACTCGAGCAATGGCTTGTCTAGTGATGTCACCCACTTGATAGTTTGTTTTTTCAGAGTATGGCCAATCCAATTCACCTTGATTTCTTCCTGCTTATTTGTTGCACAATCGATTCCTGGTTGGTTCACCCCCAGGGGTCCATGTTTCTGATCTTTCTTGGCCGTCTGATTTTGAATATTGAGCGAAGACAGTTAGCTGTTGATGAAGGCCTGTAGTTTGTTTGAGGTGCTCTTGATGACGCGCTGGCCAAGTCTCTGATCCGTATGATGAGTAGCACTGACTGACTTCACAATAAAGTTGAAAATCCGGATCTTATTTTCATTTTCATACTGAGTACTCCTGTTGAACTCCACACAGACTTGAAAGTAATGAAAGCTTGTCTTGCTTCCCCGATCCTCGCTGCTTTGATATCCTTATCAGTTCCGTCCACCTGTAGTTGAAACGATGCTTCCCAGGTTGTTTCTTTCGGCTTCCTCCCATTTATACCGGCTGATTGTTGTCTGTTGGTGTTGCCCAGGAATCTTCATCACCTTTGTTTTCTCTATGTCCACCTGAAGGAAGTTCTATCTTTTCTGGATACTTCTCCTGTCTACTTGCTGCTTTTCACTTGCACATCTTCCAGTTTGTGGAAGATCTTTTGATGTGGTTTTGTTCTCTGAGCTGGATGGTTAGTTTGCGAAGCTTTCATCACCTTACTGGGTGACATCTTCAGCGCATACTTCAATTTGAAGTGAGCTTTTAGATTTCTCCACGAGCTTATTAATCATCTCTCCTGGTGACCTTGGACGTGATTGGTTGTTTGTGTGTGTTTTCACACCTTCTAGGTTACTTGTATTGGAACCGGTTGTTTCTTTGACTTGAATTTTGACCCTTTGTCTGTGAAGTTTCTTTCTTATTGGTTGATAAATTTTGTCTATGTCGATGTGTCTATTGATTGATGATCCACTGGAATGCCAAGCTTCTAAAAATTCTCTAGCATTCTTGTTATTTCCTTTGTATAATATTTGAACGTTGTCCCAGTCGAATTGATGTCCGTAGTTGTCTGTGTGTAGTGAAATGAGGGAGTGGATATCATGTCTTTTGACGGCTAGCTTATGTTCGTGGATACGAAGACGAAGGGGACGTCCACTTTGGCCGATGTAGTGTTTTTCGCAGTTGTTACAGTTTATTTTGTAGATGATGTTGGTTTTATCTTCTTTCGCTGTTGAGTCTTTTGGTTGACATAGAATTGAGTGAAGCGACTTTGTTGGTTTGTGTACGACGTCAACTCCTAAAGGTTTGAAGAGTCTTGTAGTGATTTCTGAGATATCTTTTATATATGGTAAGGCAATTTTCTTTGTGTTCTCCTTGGTGGCTTTTGCTTTGGTAGGTTGGCTTGGGAAGATCAGACATATATATCATCGGCGAAGTCTAGACCCTCCAATTTCTGTTTTCGTGTGTGTCCATTTTATGCCTGTTTCCTCGCTGCCCGTCGCTGTCTGTCCGTCGCATTATCCAATCTATTGCAATCAGGAAAACAATCATTGACAATAGTAGGCAGCCAGCCAGCCTTGTCTTACTCCCGTCTTCACTTCTTCGAAAGATTGATAGTAAGAAAATGCAAATAAGTAAGTGCATAGAAGCAAAGTATGCTATCCACTTATATTCAGACTGAAGCAAAATTCAAAAGGTTTCGAATTCAAAAAAAATTGGTTGAAAGTATTTCAAGCATTCGTGCGTCGGTGGCACAGCAGTTAGGACGCTCGTCGGCCAAGCACATGGTCCCGGGTTCAACCACGGGCTGACGCACTCCTTTACCTCGCTAAGGCAGAAATAAACCTGGTAAAGAAGAAAGGTTGGGCATGAGGCTAGTTTTTGGAAGTGTGTGGGTGGTTGTTACTTCCCGGCTGCCCAACCAACCATGGAAGTTGATTGATTCTTCGGGTGCCTGAAACAGAGAGAGAGAGTTAGTGTTGCGTTGTAACCGCACAGCCCAGGGGACAACTGCGTGAGCCAGGCCGGTTACGCACCCGGTCTGTATGAACTGGTTTCTTGGTTTCGTTCCGTATTAGTAAACTTACCGCCGGTCACGGACCACCGTACGTGAGGTAAGTCGGAATGTACAATTTTTGGGGTCGATCTTTTCTAACCCCGACTCTCCGGAGTGGAGAGACAGCATAGCTGGCTGGGCGGCTTGCTGGTGATCTGAGGGAAACACACCTCACTGCGGCTGTTCCACGCCTGTTCCCCAGCAGTACGACTTCGCCCACAGACCCTCCAGCATAGTGTGAGAAAGATTCTTACACAATGCTCGTAACTGCTTTTAGTCTAATCACTATCCTAACAACCTTCCTGGCATGGTAGGACCTGCAGGAACATTGGTTCCAGCCAGTGTAGCTTGTTGGGTCATCGCGATGTGTAAGCCCGACCAACACGTCAACGTAGTAACTATCGGTTGGGGCTAGCAACCCCATCCCGTAAAAATAAACATTGCTACAGAAAATTGAAGCCTCTAGCTCGAAGCCCTATGTTCCATTGGGAACGTAAAAAAAAAATTTCAGTTAATGTGGCATGATCACTTAACAACAGATTGGAACTCCATTCTTACCTGACAATGTCCGAGATTTAGTCTCATTTCCCTTAATACAATAGATATGGCTTCTTAAACCACATCAACAGTAATTTATTTGTATGTGCAAATCTGTTCAGTCAATTTAAGTCAATGAGGCCAAGACAAATCATCAGTGAACACATGGTAGTGTATGGACTTCTGTAGTTCGTAAATGCAATCTACTGCATTACATTAAATGCAGGAAGATCGGAAGAAAACATTCCATATTAGTTTGTTTATTAGATGGATATATCACACAGTCAGTGAGTGAAACAGTATTAGTATTTACTGGATGACAAAGTTTCGAACACACACAATTCATTATTGCTGTTCATAATCATACACATCACCAATCATAATCACACGACTTCGAAGGAGAAGTTTAATTTGCCCACAGCCACGCTCAACCTTCCGAGCATCCAACACCTCCCTGAATGGGATAAAAACACAGGTCCTCCGTCACTAACTGAGGTTACTAAAGCTGTCACCAATCTGAAACTAGGCAAAGCAGCGGGACCTGATGGAATCACTCCAGAGGTATTTAAGTACGGTGGAGACAGCTTACTGTCCGGATTAACTGAGGTTCTAGGCAGCGTCTGGGAATCAGAAGAAGTCCCATCGGGTTGGTGTAAGTCACTGATTATCCCCATATACAAGAAGGGAGACAAGTCTTCCTGTGATAATCACAGAGGGATTAGCTTGACTAATATAGTATCTAAAGTCTTAGGCTCAATAATCATGCGCAGACTGAGTGGTGCTCGGGAAGCACAAACACGAGAGAGCCAGGAAGGCTTTAGACCAGGAAGAGGGTGTGTTGATCATATCTTCACCCTCCGACAGATTCTAGAACATAGGAATTCCTACCGGCGTCCAACAGTCATTATATTTCTTGACCTAAAGGCAGCATTCGACTCTGTCGACCGAGAAGTTCTCTGGAGATGCTTGGCTGTAAAGGGAATCCCAAGAAAATATATTGCACTGATTAAGGCACTCTACTCGTACTCATACAGCCAGGTGAGGGCTTACGGCGAGCTGTCATCTGAACTGATGACGACCAGTGGTGTCCGTCAAGGATGCCCATTATCTCCTTTTCTATTCAACTTCATCATAGATGTGTTAATGGACTTAGCCCTAGGTGACTTCAGCGACTCAGGGATTGACTTGCTACCGGGGAGTAATCTCGTTGACTTGGAATATGCAGACGATATAGTCCTTCTAAGCGAAGACGCTGACGAAATGCAGAGTCTTCTAAACACCTTGAGTCGCAATCTACGAATGTTTGGCATGCGATTCGCTCCCGCCAAATGCAAGATGATGTTACAGGACTGGACTACATCGACGCCTAGTTTAAAAATAGGAAGTGAAGTGGTAGAGCACGTTGACCGCTTCACTTATTTGGGAAGTACCATCCCCCAGTGCCAACGGGCTGGTCTCTGACGAAATCTCAGCACGAATACAGGGGGCTCGTTTCGCATTTGCCAGTTTACGCCGACTCTGGCGTAGACGAGATGTTTGACTATCGACCAAAGGGCGGGTGTACTGCTCATCAGTCCGCTCCGTCCTCCTTTATGGTTGGGAGACCTGGCCACTGAGAGTGGAAGACATGAAAAGACTAGCTGTCTTTGATCATAGGTGCCTGCGTTCTATTTCCCGTGTAAAGTGGCATAATAAGGTGAGCAACATTGAGGTTAGACGTCGAGTTCTAGGTAAACAGGGGAAATCAATCGACAAAGTCGTGAAGTTACAAAGACTGAGATGGTTAGGACATGTGTTACGTATGCCAAGCCATCGCCTCCCTCGACGAGCAATGTTAGCGGATATAGGGTCAGGCTGGAAAAAAGCTAGCGGCGGTCAAACAAAAACTTGGCACCAGTCAATGAAATCCACAACAGTTGGTCTAAGCCACGTAGGAAGGTGTAGACTTCCTGACCGGTTGGGGTTCTCGGGACGGTAAAAATCTATGGTTGGAAACAATTGGTGACATGGCTCAAAACCGTTCTCAGTGGCGCAGATGCATCCACTCCCTGTGACTTATGATCTTCAATGAAACTGTTTTGTATTTCTTTATTACTCCTTTGTCTCACCCCTCTGCTCACTGTCTCTATTATGCTTTTCTTGTACTTTCTTCTGTTGCTTTGTGTGCTACAGGGAGTGTGGCGACTTGAACTTCCGCACATTTGTGCAAAGTTCTATGTCGGAAACAGACAGACAGACAGACACGACTTCGAAACTTGAGTTTTATAGTTAGTCTTCTTTGTTCTCTCCTATTTTTCGTCGGTGGGGTAGTAGAATTTTCCAGATATCTGGCTGGACAGGTGTTGAATCATTCCTATTGCAGGCACGTATTTGGAGTTGATTCGATAAACAAAGCTTCCGTTATCAATCTTCCCCCTCACCACTCTGTCACATTAGATTTTAGAACTGTCATCCTATCGCAAAAAGCCTATTGTATGGTTGTGTTTAATCGCATGTAGTGCTATAGCTGAAATGCTTAATTGACAGCACAAAAACTAAGTAATACCAAGGAAAACCTAAGACAATAAGTGATGCAAATAAAAGAAGCCTTGAAACTTAACAATTACCCTGATAAATTAGTCAGGAAATAGGTAAGGAAATGTAAAACTGAAATAAATAATGATAGTAGTGATAGTGATAATAATAATTAATAATAAATGGCGACATGCATGTCATATATGCGCAAGACAACAGCAACAATAAGGAATCTAGACCGTCAGTTGTACTTCCATACAAGGAAGGAACCTCAGAAAACACCCTTCTTGTTACGTATAAACTCACCAGTAAAGGGAATAAAATTCACATTTGAATCGCAAAATGAACAAGGAGAATTACCCATAATGTTAGAACATTAAAGCGCTACACACTTAGTCATATTGATGCAATCAGTTCTCGTGTGGTAGAATTAAACAGGAACATAACTCTGAGAAGTCATGTTCTGTTTGAACTTTCGACTGATGAACGCCGGCAATTCGAGGAATACGTTTCTTGTGTCATTGAAAAACAGTCCCAGTCTGCTAACCTCAAGCATCTTGACAGTCTCAAGCAGGTATTAGCAGAAAAGCGATTCCCGACTGACCCCAATAAATATGTATTTAATTATTCCTCCGTCACTCTTTCTGAAA